GCTTTTGTTTAATTATTGTGAAATCAGGTTATATTACTTAATGAACAACCTTTCATTTGAGTAATATTAACACCTCTTTAGGTAAGCAGTTAAGAGACGGTGGAAGCCCTACATGGCACGTATGATTTAACTATTTCGTAAGAAATCATTGCCGTTACATAATTTGTATCTAATGCATTTCTATCTTGCGTAAGAGTTGTAGAATGAGGTTTACGTAACTGATGACATTTTTACTTAATTAATAATAACAGTTTATTACATAAAACGTCAATTGACTACATAATTCTTATGTTACACGTTTAACTTAAATATTATGTAATAAATATTGAATTTTTGTAATCTTTGTGTAATGTATTTTGCTTCTAAAATGACATTACTTAATAATCAACAACCGTATTTATGTTTTAACCATTTCAATGGACATTCATTTTAAAACTCGATTCTCCTTGACTACACAGAAATCAATTTACTATTATTAAAAAAATCAAGATCTGATATAATCAAAGTTGCGCAGGGTCAAGCTTCTCGAACCAAACAGAACCGGATAGGATGGAAATCGATCGGAACAGAGGGTGTTATGGGCCGCGAGTTGAGAGTGAGCGGGCTTGATCTTGCTGGCCGGGGGGAGACGCGAGGTTGGACCGTGAGCGTGAGGCGGATCGGGCCTGTGTGATTGGTGGGGGCTTCGGGTTGAAGTGGACTCGGCCGGTGAGGCGGATCGGGCCCGCGGGTTTGGTGGGGGCTTTGGAAGCCCGCTTGGGGACTTGATGTGTGGGCCGCCAATTGCAGTTGGAGCGGATTTGGATATATATATATATATATAGGGGAAAGGCGTACTCGGTTTGGAGTTTTAAGGGGGCGGAGGATCTAAATCCCCAAATCCGCTCCAACTGCAATTGGCGGCCCACACATATATATATATATTTTCAGTTGAATCTTTTCTTCCGCCACCGCCGATAGTTTGAAGCGCGAGTCGATGGTGAAATCCGGCAAGGCGCGATCGCGCGGGCGTCGAGTAGTAGAGCGTGGAGTCAGTGATGGCGGCGAGGAGGGCAGAGTTGATTTGAGTCGCGACTCTCTCCCTTCCTCGGGAATCGCATGCCTCGACATCTGTGTCCACTGCTTTAGCGATAGTGTGCCTTTTGGAGAAAAGTTGCTGACAGGCGACGTGACAGCTGACGGGACAGCTCTGGCACCCCTCTCAGCCGTAGAAACCTTGATCAGAAACCGGAGGTCCGGCGGGGGTAAAGGAGACGAACGGTGGTGGGATCTAGTTTTCTTTTTTGAGCTTTTCTTTTTCTTCTCTTGCTTTCGTCCCTTTTCTTCTTTTGTCGTGGCTGCACGGATATTAAATTTCCTGGAATCCTGCAAGCTACCGCCATTGAACCTCTAGTTCCGGCGGAAGCGGACAAGCACTGGCCAAACCGGACGGCGGGGGATATGTCGACGGAAACCTTGAACTTAAAAGTGCCAAACAACGGTCTCGAAGGATTCCCCACTGCAGAATTCGTCGGCGGTCTCCCAAACAGAAGTAGAGCAGCCGACGAAGTATCCATGGCCGCTGAGCTTGATGTCGCCGGTCGACTGGCGGTCTTTGGTGGGATTTCACGGCCGTCGTTGTTACTTTCAGTTGGAGGAGATGGATCCAACTTGCCGTGGAATCTTCGTTTCCTTTCTTTTGTTTTTTCTGCTTAGAGTCGGATCCTCTTTCCGTCTCGCGCCCTTTGAAGATCAAACGAGCAAAGTCGATGAATCGGCCCCACGGTGGGCGCCAATTGTTTGTGCCATCCAGCTCAGGACACGAACAATGATATTTGTTGGTGTGGGTTGACTCGTCATCCGTTCGTCCGATCCGTCGGGAGGGAGAGAACCTGTGAAAGAGTCGGGGTTGCTCCCCGGATTAAGCTCCGACGATCAAGTTAGTGTATGATTGTGGAGAGAGTTGAGAGAATAAGGTAGAGAGATAAGGTGTAGAGAGATAGTGGAAAAGTAGAAAGTCAGGAGAGAGGAGAAGTCCCCTCCTTTGGGGGGGGGGGGGCTTCAACCCCTTATATACCTGTAGCGCGTATCGCGCGTCGCCGATTGTCCGCCCCCTACTTAGTATGTGAACAATATTTGTCACAAAGATCCATGTTTTGGTTACACATATGTATTTTGTCTAAACTGAACTACACATACAATTTATTATTTAATGTTAGAATCAATATTACTTGAGTTTCGATTTCACACTTAATCACTTTTTATAAGATATAATAATTTCAGGTAAAATTCATTTCATACTTGGTTGAAGAAACTCTTTCTATAAGATATATCACACTAAACAAATTTGTTTTTATCTTCTTAAGTTGTAAACATGCACTAAGCGAAGATTTAAAAAGCAGAGGACTTTTCACGGTTAGCTAGCCTATTAAATCTTCTAAAAAGCAAAGTTTAATACGTGATTTATAATTTTTATAACCTGTAAAATGACTGGTAATCTTAAAATTGCAACACAAATTTCATTGTTTGAAATATTGCATATCGAACTGCAGTATTGAATATGCAAAAACGATGTAGAATTCTTTAAGTTAATATAAATTTTCAGAACTAATCCGAAACAATAATATTTTGTACAAACTATAGGTGATTGGTTCTCTAAAATTTTAGCCTGGTTAACTGCTAAACATTGAACTCTTGCTAATCGGGCATGAATGGACCGAACAATAATGAGACAATATGGAGTTTAATGTGATGTTCATTTCGTCAATTTTGGATCTGATGTGTTGATCAATTTATAGGGCATTAACATATAAATGAGTTATAATTATCCTTATCATACAATTTTTACTCTTTATAATAATTAATATAATCTTAATATTTGTGATGTTTGAAATATTTTATGTATGATTTAGAACTATAATTATTATTTGTGACATCGATTGTTGGTACGTGAATGACGGGTACACGCTTCGGCCTTGGTCCCACTTTCCTGGTCATTCAATATGGTGGCTCAAGTATTGGCCCATTCTTCTATGGGCTGAAAATCAATCGGACTGTAGGATTAGTGGCCCAAGTATTTATTTCCTATTACATTTTTTCGTTCATATCATATAACATTTTTTCAATACATTAGGGATGTTATTGCTTATTATTGTTGTTTGTAAAAGTACAAATAAACTCTTTTAATTCATCTTCATAATAAATATTGAGTGGCTCTATCCGCATGGAAAATTTAATTTCGGCTTCTCCCATAAACACTTCCATACAACCATTTTTAGATAAAACTTTCATAGTTATTAATAAATACAGAGCTAAAATTTTGTACAATCGCCATTTTATTACAAAAGTTACAAAAAGAAATTAACCATTTTCAATTGGATTTATATTTCAACATTTATCAAATGATACGAGTATGCACAGGTTAGGATTTATATTTCAACATTTATCAAATGATACGAGTATGCACAGGTTACCCGTCCAACGGGCGGGCCCAGTGCTAGTGGGTAATGTGATTCCTTATCGTCCAAAAACCCAAGACTAAGGCCATGACTGGAAGAAGATTAACGATGAAAAAAAAAACGAAGGGCCCAAACTGTGTATTTTTCCATTAGTATGAAATAAAACTATGCCCGTTACCGTTGCGACTTACATTTTATTTCTATAAATTAATTAATGGCGCGATAAATCATACAAGTTCTGATTTCGTTAGGGAATCAAATCCAGCTTGGCATTTACATTTCAGGAATTTTTTTAAAAATTATTTAGTCTGACCTGTTCAAATATTCTCACAGAGAAATATGAGCTGCCTGGCATGCCAGCCTCATATTGTTTTCTTTTGTTAATTCCAATGCTGTCAAAGCCGAGCTGGAGTATGATCCGGTAACGTGAACGGCTCGGTCATTAGTGGTCCAGCCGGCATTAGACCGTTTAAAACCGTTTGAGAACCGGTACATTATAAACAATATAATATCATAGTAGAACACACATAAAGTAATAATTCAATGATTTAATGAGTAAAAATGATAATTACAGGTACCATTTAATAATTCTACACAACATATATATACAGCAACTAAAAAAAACCCTAACCTAATCCTAAGCGACAACGCCGCTTCCCCACCCATCACTCTCCTTCCTTCCGCTTCCCCATCCCCCCTCCCTCTCTCCTTCCTCCTCTCCCACCGCCGCACCTATTTTCATTTTTCAACCATATAGCCTTCTGCAATTCCTCAAAAATCCATCACCACGTTCAATTCTTCCTCATCCTTTCTTAATCCGTAAATGCTCTTCCTCGTCCCAATCCGCGAAATGGCTCGGATTCAATCCAATCCTCTGGTGAGACAGGGCAGCTTAACGGGGAGCTGCTTGCGACTGTGGCGACGGGATGGAAGCGCCGGGAGCGGGGAGCTGCTTGCTACAACAAGGACTGGCGATGGCGATGCGATGGCGACTGGGGATGGCGATGGCGGGACAAGAGGTGTTGACGGCCGATTCCACGATTGGCCTTTTCTAATTTTTTTTAGGGTAAACCAAATGGCCGAACCGCGCGACCGGCTTGAGCGGCTCGAGCGGTTAACCGCTTCGGCCGCTGTATAAAACCGTGGCGGTTAAATAGCTGATCCGAGCCGGTTTTACGGCTGGGTGGCGGCTTTGGCGGTCCGGCCGGCCGGCTCGGTTCGGCTTTGACAGCACTGGTTAATTCTGTCTCACAGTAAGATACCTTGCAGAAACACAACCCTAACCCCCATAAGAATCCTAAAAGATTATAAACCATAGATCCAGTTTGGCTACCAAGATTTTCAACTGCGGTTAAGAAACTAGCCTGTCGTCAACATGATTATCTGCGTTATACGTTACTGGTTCAAATAACTTTGTTCTAGTTTGTCACGTTTTAGTAAACAAATTCTGATGCGATTGATATCGATCAGTGGTCGCGGATTGAATTACGCGCCTATTGCAAACCCCTTTTACCAAGTTGAGTTGCTGTTGAAAGCATCTGGATGAGAGCTATGAAGCAGCTTCTTTTTTTTTTTTTTTTGTTGTAAGAAAACGGCCGACAGAGCGCCCTAACAGCTAATGGGAAATGAGTCTGGAAGTTTGACTCCCTACAAGATCAAAGAGAAGCCAATGCTGCAATCGCTGGTCGGGGACCAGAATGGGATGACTCCCGACCTGTAAAGCATGCCCTGTCGAGGCCAAGAAATCCGCCACCACGTTGCCCTCCCTGTAAATATGCTCGATCCGCACCTCCCAGTTGCGTTGTATCATTCGCCTCACCTGCAACACAATATGATAATGTGGGTGGGTATTGGTGGCTGGCTCTATGATCTGAATCGCCGCTCGGGAATCCGTTTGGAGCAAGAGCAGCTTCCTTTTTTGGTTGCTAAGCAGGAAATTTTTGAAATGAAATGGCAAGGGATATTCTTTGGTGCGTGTCTCTGTGAGGTTTTGACAATGTAAAAAGAAAACAACATATGCCTATATTGTTAGCCAAAAGAACAACTGGCCAGAACGATACCAACTTTTGCCAGGTCAGCAGCAGCCAGCTTCCTTTTCCTTCCCATGCCTGACTTTATTCTCTACCACTCAATCAATCTGCTGCCAAATCTTTGGTTCAGTCCACCTTTTGATGGAAGAACATGAAGTAGATGTATCTTGGAACCCAGAAACCACTCACAATTTCAGATTTCTGATTTGGAATTCCACTGAACCCTAAAAGTGGGCAAGAAAGGAGAAGGTGGTGGAATCTAGGAATTGCTTTCCCCCCTTCCAACAGACTTTAACTTGAAAAAACTGAGGCCAAGGGCAACAACCAAACAGAGACCCAACCTTCCCCCTCTAAAAGTGTTGAACTTTCTCAGAGAATTCTTTCATCAGCAGACTACTTGGAGAACTAATGAATCCCAAGTTTAAAGACAATTGACAAGCACATTAGAACCAATTGAGGACATAAATCAATCCTTAGGTGAAGGTTAGCAAAAGGGGACGGCAATTGACAAGAACACAGAACCAATTGGGAGGAACTACTGAATCCCTAATCTAAAGATCGGGGGTAGGAGAAGGCAATTTGAGAAGTAAACAACCCAATTTGGAGACCTCAAATCATATCCCTAATCCAACTATCCAAAGGAACAAAAGAAGGAATCTATGCAATCCCTAGTGACAGAATAAGAAAGATGACAGGATCCTCCCTTCAAGACTGCAACTTTATCAAAGCTAAATCCAGAAACCAGAAGGAAGAAGGAAGAACAAAGAATAGCAATAAAGCAGTATAATCTTTTACAAAAGCCAAATTGAGAAGCCGTAAAATTATAACAACAACAATATATTTTTCCATCAATAATAACCCTCCACCGCCATCTCACCAACGAGCTCTCTCTCTGTCTCGCTCTCTTTCATTCCTTGTTCATCCACCTCCAAGTATGACAATCAAATCCAAAAAAAAAAAAAATGTAGAAAGAAAAGAACCGAAAAATATAAAAAAGAGAGAAAGAAATTACAAACAAGAGGTTATAAGAAAGAAGAAGAGGAAGTTCCAATCTTTCTTTACTTTTTTAGCTTCTGCACCTGGTAATGGCGCTGCAGCCACGGGAGTAGGGGTTGGCCTGAGCTCCGGCTCGGCAATTGTAGTAAGAAGCGCCACGCCTCGAGCAAGGAACAGTGTTTCTCTGGAGAGCTCCATAGCTGATGTACCTGCCAGACGACTGCAGAACCCTCCTGCTGATCTCTGAATCCATGGCGAACTCCTCCCCATCGGCAGCCATTACATCAGAAATCAACCCTTCCGATGAAGATCTGAGTGGTAACCAGCCTTCCACTCCTCCACCACCGCCGCTCGACTGAACGGCCGCCGGAGACAAGCTAACCAGCAGCATCATGAAGATGACACAAATCAAATTGCTGGCGGCCATTTCTATACCTCAAAAAGAACAAATCTTTAGCAAAACCCAAGTGGAGAAACAGCTTCTTCTTCCTTGTCCCCCCCCCTTCTTCTTTCTTCAAAGGGCTCTCTTGTTAGCCCAATGGGTTCTTCTTCTTCTTCTTTGGGTGCCTCCTCCTTTAACTCTCCCCTCTGGGTTCTGTTTTGAGATGCTCTGATTTGGCTTTCTTTATGAGTTTTCTTTTGGGAGGTGTCTTCTTTTATTCTTTCCTTTGGTGGTGTGTTGAAAGAAAAACCAGCTAAGGGCTAGTTGGGGTTAGAGGAGGGGACTTATAAACCTGGCCAGCTCAAAGACTCTGAATTATTGACTTTGGTACCAACTCCATTTTACCAAAATGCCACCATTTGTTTTTCTTTTCTTAGTTTGTGGGGAACCACTCAAAAGGGTTGAGAGAAATTTGGGAGGGCACTAATCATATGGCTTTTTGAAAACATTAATTAAAGTGGAGGGAATAGATGAGATTATATGTGTGAATGTGAAGGTTTGATTTGGTAATAAAATCATTTGACAAAAAAGTGGTACTCCAATCCAATCAAATTGGTGGATGGGTCATTTGACTTGAGATGGATGGGGTTAGGTGAAATTTTTACTTTGTGAGCATGAGAGGGTATTTCAAGATTAAACAAATGTCATGTTGAGGAATTAGATGCTAAACATTCAACCGGATTAGGAAAATGTAATTATGCTAATGGTGGATTACAACTAACGCTTGAAAATGTCATTTGAACTAGATTATACAAACAATGAAACAAAGAAGAGAATGGTTTTCATTTTTTTGGCTTTGAAAGAAGAATGCAAAATTTTCTTACCCTTCCCCCCACATTGCACTTAATCATATAAATTGACATTATCAAATTTAGGTAGGGACGACAATCAAACTCATCATCATAGGTACTTAACCGCACCGGATTCAGTCAATACAGTAACTTTCCACATTGATTGGACAAGAAGCGGGTATGGGTAAAACCCACAAAAAATTTGAGTGAGATGACCAGATGAGGCAAGTGTGGTTTTAGAGCCAAACACTAATTTCTTTTCCTCCACCCACCCTTCACTCTTCCACTTCTTTCTATCTTGTTAACAATATTATGTTAGTTATTTATTGCTTAGTATATACGTGGAACGTGGAGTTGGAGATGAATGATTTAGATAATATTGTACATTTTCTGGATTAATGAATGTTTTAAGATCGAACGTTTGGAATTCGTGATTATATGAAGGATCGTAGCTTTGTTAATTTCATGACTTATTAGGCATGTTTAGTGTTATAACGAAAAGTCAGCATGCTGAATTCTAGGCATCGTAATATTGGATATACGGTGCAGGTATGACCCACTGATACACAAAAATCGCGGGTGTGGGGATGAGATTTCAAGTCCTCTCCCTGCATGGGTATGCGGGGAGTATGTGTTTGTATATTTGAAAATGAGCATACAGATGATTTAGACAAACCCACCCCAAACCCGCCCCATCGCAATCTCTATACGTAGGGTTGTGTTTACAATACATCTTTGACTAAGTGCATACTCTTATCACCAAATCTTAAATTTAATTGTCAAGATTTCTTTATTATGAAGGTACAGCCTAGAATTTACTTCTAATTCATACATTTTCCATCATAATTTTGTTCTTATAATGGTCCTTTAGATTGACAATTAAATTTAAAATTTGGTGATAAGAGTATGCACTTAATATACGAACAATTTTCATGTTACAATTGAAGATTAAGATCTCATTTTGAATAATCGAATGATAAAAGTAACCATTATGTGATTAAATGTATGATATGCACCCAAATTCGAAGTGGTTTACCCGTTCCTCATTGGGAAACAGGCATGGCCAAATGCAAACCAGTCAAGAATTGGACTTGTTAATGATGTATAATCTCAGAAGCAAGAAATGGAAGGGGAAATCGTAGACAACAACTACTTTAATTATGAATATCATTTTTTTGTTTTGTTTTGTTTTTGAGACTGCCCAACAACCACTAGTTGCTGCCTGCCTGCAGGTCGAGAAATGTCAACTCGGTAGTTAAGACTAAGAGGAGCAAAATGAGCATTTTTGTAAACTCCACCCATTTGGTGCGCTTTTACGGATGACAGAATTGGGTATACAATCGATTTCGAATATATTTTGTTTGGAAGACCCAATCGATATTACATTTGAGTGGAGTTTTGTTGAATTCGACAAAGAGGGTAATGAGTTTGGTGTGATTTTGGTATTTTAAGTAACTGTATCGAACTCATCCAAATATGTATTATAACTATGTTTAAGACTCGTTCACTTTAAGTCTTTAACACTTCGTTCATCCATATCCCTAATCATAATAATTATCTCTTAGAACTCAAATCTTTTTCATTTTCTCTCAGTCTTACAAACAATGTGACAAAGAAACTTCATTTTAGATTAATAAAAAACTTTATACATGATTTTTCAAGAATGGTGCAGGTGGTTTTTTTTTCCCGAACCACATATTAGTTAGTTTTGATATGACGTATAACATCCCCAAGCATTTTTCGTTACGAATTACAAGAATAATTCTCATTTTAAAGCCGTGATTTGAGAATGATATATATGAAAATCAGCTTCAATCATTGTTATCCTAGTGGCTAATACTAGCTAGGTATGGGGACTGGGTTGACTGCTTTGTCTTTTCCCCCCTTGCCTCCATTCCAGACCTCTCCCTGTCTTGTAGAGCAATTCGATAATTCTAATGGAGAAAAGGAAAGGAGGAAGACGGCAGCCATTCTTTTGTTCACGACCACCCAACCCCAAACAGTTCCCTTCCCTTCCCTTCCCTTCCCTACAAAAGAACTGAATCCCTCGGCTTAACCAAAACACGTTTTGCTTTGCTCTCTCCCTGTCTTCCTTTCCCTCCGCTAGCAAACGCGTTTGCGCGCTGCCACGTCGTCTTCGTCCATCCCCAAATCCCCAAACATAATTAATTAAGAACCAATAGGCACTTCATCACGCGCCATTTGATATCCATAGTTAATCAAACCCCTCTTCTACTTTTTTCTGGGGCGTGGTTGGCCGCCTGCATTTAAGGTTGCGTTTGGATACGTGTATTTCAAATGTAAGGTATTTAAAATGAATGTATTTGAAATGGTAGCATTTGAAATACATGTAATTCAAATTCGTTGTTTGGATACTCATTTGTAATTTGTTTGTATTTTGAATTTTATGATTTTGAATTTTAATTTTGAATTTTCTGGTCACTTACTTCAAATTCTGGTAAATTACAATTTGGTAACCAAATTTATTTTTTTCTTACAATAATACCTAAACTTTTAAAATTTTACAAAAAGGTCAGGGAATTTTGATGGTAAAATTACATTTTGAGACCTTTACATGTTTTGCCTCACAATATAGTACCTAAACTTTTAATATTTTATAAATAGGTCCAATCTTTTGTTAGGAGATATTTCAAATCACTAGTTGTTGAAATGTATTTGAAGTTGACAAGAAATACACTAGACATGTATTTGGAAATCACCCCACGAATTTGACACAAATCCAAATACCAAATGTAATTAATATCTAAACACATGATTTGATATTTGGAAATCCAAATCATAAATACCAAATACAAATCATTCTATCCAAATCGCACCCTAAGTTGATTTTGTTTGTCTTAATTAATATACTGTTTGAAATGTATTTGTATTAGTTCAGAAAAATATAGTTAATTAGAAAATGAATGCGAAACCCCTATTACCTAGTTTATGAGAAGGGAAATCCACCCCTATCAGTTATACCAGATCATGTTGGCATGACATTTCCTAAATCATACTCACCCGAAAACACTTTATCCTAATCCCAAAGTTGAGGGGCTAATAGTAGCTAGCTACGGGACCAAAAGTAGCATTAATCCCGAAGCTTAAGTAAGCTAGACATCTATAATCATTCCAAAACCTATCGCGTATATGAAAAATACTACTCTTGCAACATGTTGTATAAAAAATTGGCAAAATACACTATCATAGCCATAACTATTCGCGTTGTGTCAATAATAGCCACTTTTTGAAAAATACACTAATATATCCACTTTTTCAAACTTGCTTGACAAATTTAGCCATTCCGTCCATAACTTTAACGGAAATCTCAAGTTGCTGACTAGACTAACGTTTTTTGGTGACGTGGCATTTTTTTGGTTTAAAACAATACAAGGTGGAAAAGACTATTTTTAATTAAATGGAAAAACAACATAAACAAAAGTAGAGGCGATGGAAGCAACTAGCTGCCACCTCTCATCGCCGTCACCAACCGCCGGCGGCTACATGCAGTAAGAAGAACCGTAACAGCAACAAAATCGACGAATCAACAGCTCCTCCCATCCTCGTCACCAAGCTTCCCCCGAGAAGCTTTTATGAGTTGGAATCTTACCGCTGCTCATCAATTTCTAACTCGATACAAATAAACCCCTAATTTCTTAGATGGAATTCGAATGAGGGCATCGATAGATCTACCTCCAACTCGTGCATCGCTTCAATTTTCTCCTCACATAGCCGGTGCAGATGAGTAACCCATTATAGATCTGCCTTTTTGTGGCTTCGAAGTATGCTATGTCGCCATTGATATCCCTCGCCAAAAATGGAACTCGCGCAATTCCGAGGAGGAGTCGATGCCTTCCAGTTCCAGATTCTCCCTTCCTTTCCTCTCTCTATCAGCAGCAGAGCTCCAAATCGATCGACCAGTGGCCGCTGCTGCTGGCGCTCTCTTCTTCTTGGCCACCAATTTCACCTCCAATGACTCGTCGGCCGACGACCTGGGAGTTCGTCGGATTCGTGTACTGCCAGATGGCGTCGGGGTGGGTGTGGAACGGGAATTGGACGGCCCACGCGGGGCTACTGCCCGGGAAAGAGAGGTCGTTGAAGGGAGGATTCGTGGATTTGGATCTGGTGAAGAAGGTGAAAGGAATATACAAGCAGCGCCGGTGGGAAGGGATTTGGGGAAGGGACGAAGAAATA